CGGAATTGCTGGTAAAGAGTCAGATAAATAAAATAAGAAATGTGGCGCCGATCTCAGAGAGTCGCATCGAACAGCTTGTGGGATTTGCGACTAAGGTGCAAAATCTGTCTTCGTTCCTGCAGGCAGCTGATTGCGACCACCACTTGTCTAATCCGACGCTAATGGAAGAACTCCTGTTGAAGCTTCCCATACAGAGACGCATCGAATGGGCACGTTACGCTTCGTCAATTGTACCGCGACCAACAATCTGCCATTTTAGTGATTGGTTACAGGAGTTGTCATCAATGGTGAACTCGGCCTGCGTATACTCTAGCTTAGAACCGCGACAAAATAGACCCGAAGGGCGTTCAAGATTTTTCCACGCCAACGAGGCTAGTGGTGAAAATTCTGGGCGAATTAGGTGTGAGGCATGTGCAGATAGGCACGCGATTACTAAGTGCAGAAGATTCCTGAACATGGAGCACGGGGATAGATGGCGCCTAGTTCGTCGCAAAAAGCTTTGTTTTAATTGTCTAAAGGGAAGTCATCGCAGCAACAACTGTGGTGAAGAACATGAGTGCGGTGACAGGCACTGTACAAAAAGGTGGCATGTACTTCTTCACGAGTCCAGTGGCAGAGCACAACAGTGGCAGTCAGCGCCACCGCAGCAAGCGTCGCAGCCGACTTCGCGGTACGCGATACAGCAAACGTTGGCATCGACAGCAGAACAGGCGGTTCAGCAGAAACGGGCAGCGCAAGAAGCAGTACAGCAAGTTTTTACAAATACGGTAGCACCCAGTCCCGCCCCGAAATTGTTATTTAAGATACTTCCAGTGGTATTGTACGCGCATGGTAGAAAAGTCAATAGCTACGCGTTCTTCGACGAAGGGTCCGCCATATCCTTAATGAACCGCGATCTGGCAACCCGCCTTGGACTGCAGGGAAGCAGTGATAACTTGACCCTGCAGTGGTTTGGCAGCACGACCGTTACGGAGCGTTCCTGTAGAGTAGACGTTCACATCTCCGGCGTTGGGCGTAACAGCAGCAAATTTCTGATGCGTGATGTTCGCACGGTTGAAAATCTTCAGTTGCCAATGCAGTCGCTTAGCCTGGCAGATCTTCATTGTAAATATCAACACTTACCGATCCTACAATATAACGATGCTGTACCAGAACTATTGATAGGTTTAGACAACGCACATCTTGGCATTCCGAAGCGAACAGCATACGACGGTAGAAGAGGACACGCAGTAGTGCTGACGAAGCTTGGATGGGTTATTTATGGCACGGCGGGCCCCCTAGCTCCTTACTCGCGGTATCACACATTGTTTGCACAAGTCGGCGAGACGGAGAATATGACCGACAACATGGAAAATCTCGTGAACGATTTCATAACTAATGAGAACATGGGCGTAAGTACGGCGAAGCAGGTCGAAGCTAAAGACTTGTTAAGAGCGAAGAAATTATTGGAAGAAACCACTAAGCGCGACGGGATTCGATTCGAAACGGGTTTGCTGTGGAAGCGAGACGACGTGGAGTTGCCGGAGAGCCGAAAGATGGCCGAAAATCGATTTTTTGCGTTAGAAAGGAAGTTCAAGAAGAACGACAACCTGAAGAAAGCATACGCTGGAATCATTTCTGAATATCTGGCAAAGGGCTATTGCCGGATGCTGAGTAAGGAGGAAGCCGCAACAATAAGCAAGCGGACTTGGTACCTGCCTCACTTTGGTGTGTTTAACCCTAATAAACCAGGGAAACTTAGGCTAGTTTTTGATGCGGCGGCGGAGTCACGAGGCACTTCACTCAACTCCATGTTACTCAGTGGGCCAGACTTAACACAGTCTCTGGCAAGCGTCCTGATGAGGTTTAGACAGAAACCGGTTGGAGTGTGCGCTGATATTGTGGAAATGTTCCACCAAGTGAAGATTCGACACGAAGATTTGGCATCGCAACGCTTTTATGGAGATTTGATCCTGGAGCGCCAATCGAAGAATACGTGATGAATGTGATGGTATTCGGAGCTACTTGTTCGCCCTGCTCAGCGCAGTTCGTCAAGAATAAAAACGCAGAAGACTTTAAAGAACAGTTTCCAGAGGCTGTAGCGGCGATCGTAAACAATCATTACGTAGATGATTTTGTGCATTGTTTCTCCGGTGAGGATGAGGCCTTTACGGTGACAAATCAGGTTGTCCGCATTCATAAGCGCGGAGGTTTTGAACTAAAAAGATTCGTATCGAACTCGCAACTTATAAATAGCTTAAATGAAGAACAGTTACCATTACATTATTTAAATCTTGACAGAGAAAATGCCGAATTGTTCCAGAAGGTGCTCGGAATGTTTTGGAAAACCGAAAGAGACGTTTTCAAGTTTGTTCTATCCTTAGGGAAGGTGAATCAGGACGTGTTAAAGGAGAAGCGGAAGCCAACAAAACGAGAAGTCCTCAGTACAACGATGTCCATCTTCGATCCGTTTGGAATGGCAGCAGAATATTCCCTGGAAGCTAAGTTAATCCTGCAAGAAATTTGGCGGGAGCGGATAGATTGGGATGACAGCATATCCGACGCGGTGTACATGAGCTGGAAGAAGTGGCTTCGAATGTTACAAGATCTGGAGAGTATAAGTATACCACGCTGCTACGGAGCTACATTTGCTACGGGACCCGTCGAACTACACGTGTTTGCGGACGCGAGCGAGTCAGCATACGCAACTGTTGCATACTGGAGACTTGTAGACGATCACGGCAATATCCGACTGGGTTTCATCGCTGGTAAAACTAAGTGTGCTCCAATTAAGCTGGTATCTGTTCCTCGTCTCGAATTGCAATCAGCAGTGCTCGCTACGCGCCTCAAAAATAGTATTATTGCAAGTCACGACAAGATCCCAAGTAGGGTTACGATGTGGTCTGACTCAAAAA